ATATGGTAAAATCCATAAAAACGCATATATGCGCTCAAAGGCCCCTATTTCGTTTCAATAAATATTGATTCTGGGGCATAAAATGTAACATTTTTCATTTTTCGGACAATATAAACCATGCTATATTTTACGAATGAAATGTATGCGCCTAATGATAATGCATTCGCAGAAATTTTGCATATTCTCAATAAAATGAGAGGCGCAAATAAAAAAAGGTCAATGATTTGAAATCAGTTAACAACTTTTTGCTACTTAACAACGAAAAATCTGAATTCCAGCATTTGTTGCATTCAATTTTTATGTGATTGGTTTGGTTTGAAAGCAATCTCATTTCATTTAACGATTCACTTTCGCGCGCGCACTTTCTCAAGAAGGTATATGGATGAGTGTGATTGTAAGAATCATTCACTGAGGTAACAAAAAATGAGCGACAACAGCACAATAATAGACACCGCCACAACCGATTTCTTTTGACTCATCGCACCCATGCGCACAATCTCTCACACACTCGAGAAATAATGCAACTGCATACAACATAATTATCCGTCAAAACACAGCAAGAAATCTAAAAGATGATTTTTGTAAAGATTTTTTTTATTTCTCCATTTCATTTCCAATTTGTTCGCTTTGTTTGCGTCAGAGAAGTGATATTATGGATTGTATATCATTGTTTGTGTTATATTGCACAAATTTGTAAATCATTTTGGTGGATATGTGCGTATGTGATTTCGGCTTGGAATACAAAAGGATGAATAGATAGATGTGTGAATGCGCAAGAGAGATAAAAGGTGCTTTAAATCTACAGTCCGTATATCCCTATTTTCACAATGTGATCTAGTTCATATATGCTTGTTCATTGAACGAATCGCTCGTACAATTCTCTTTATGTTTACAATTAATCTGTTTCGGCTTCTTATTTCATTCTCTTGACTCTCGACATCGAATTTCCTTAATCTATTCCTTTTGGAGTTTTTTTTCCCAACTAGTCGACGGTAGTTTTTTTTCCTGGTCTTTGTATTTCTATTAAAATCCTACCTTTTTTTCTCTATCGTTTATTACATCTCCTTCTAGCGCGCACTCATCGCAAATGTATCAGTTATGATTTTTATCTTTCAAAACTTTTTTTTCATTCTACCGTCATGCTTTTACAATTGAATAACAACGAAACCGTTGAATGATTGATGAAAACATCGAAATGAATCCGTTTTTTTCACTCATACTCTACAGCTCACCTAAAGAAATCTATTAAATTCAAAACTATCAATAGATTTACGATTTCCAAATCATAAAAATAGATCGGTATCGGTGAACGAATGAGTAAGTACTTGCTGTTTTGCGCCGATAAAGAAATAATTACCATAAACGTATTTGATGTTTCGCGGCGCATTGGAGTTTCTCGATCGATAGACACTTTTCATTGTTTTTTGTTGTGGTGTTTTTTGTTTCACCCAATCTCAAACACCTTCAGAAAACCACTGGAAACTCGTTCCATGTGTGATGATGCGTGGATAATCGAGCCAATGTAAGACGCGGTGGCGCCTCTTTGAATATACAAAAACCCGATCTTAATTTTCCGTGTGTGTCCCTTTTTTTCTCTCGTTTACATTCATTAATTACTTTTTGATTGCACATCGATTCAAATGACTTTGTTTGTTATACAAAATGAGAATGGTTTGTTTGTTATAATGTTGAAATAAAAAATGAAATGTACGCAATTGTTGAAAAACGTCACACATGTGAATCTAAACAATTTTGATTCATTGTATAATAAAATGTCAGTCACAGTGTGAGGCGAAATTGTCTTCGTGTGAAACAATCAGCGAGTGTACGTGAGCGCGTTTTTTACGGCCAAGAAAACTGCTGTAAATAAAATGATTTTATTGAAAAAATGTCGTCGTCGTTTTTGTTGTCTTCATCATGATGAGTCTTTCACCGTTGTCAAGCGCACATCATTGTAATGGAATGAACGTGATATTAAGCCATTTACAGCGTAAGTTGTTATCGAAATGATGTCAGTATTATATTCGTGGCAAATTACTCTGGAAATAGAAACGCGTGCGTTTTAAAATCAAATAACTAATCATGACGATTGTGAAACCATGCTTCGAAAATTCTAGCTCAAATCAAATGTTTTACGAGCGTTTTTTTCTCGTTTGTTTGTTATTTAAATCTCATATTTAAATTGAGTCGCATGATAAGGAGGAAGCTGCTACTGTGCTGTATCATTTTTCTTGCTTTGCTGTTTACACAAATGATTCTCAATTGAATTGCTGTTTTATCTGCTTAATACAGTAGCTTCTATTATTATTTATTCAGTATTTGCTTTTCGATGTTATTCTTTTAACATGGCCTTAAATTATATCTTCATTTGAAACAAAAACAAATTACAACATTCCAATGCACAATATCACAAAGCAAACATATATCACGGAACGGAATGATGAAAAAAACATGTACACCAAACAATGAAACATTCACTAATTCGACAAATACGAACGATATTTTTTTCTGTCTCGTCTGGTTCAAAATGAACATCATCATTTTGAAAATTTCATTTTAGTTACGTCAAGAAATGATCTCCCCCATTGAGAAGAAAAACGAATAAAATAGAGTAAAATCTGACTTATTTCAGATGTCTGGTTTGACAAAGTCATCTGTTTCACTCCCAATGTATAGACAATCAAGAATTGAATGGTATGAGCGCATGCCATTTGTGCTACACTACATGCAATGTGATCACATTTCGAATGACTTCCATATTAAGGCAAAACGAGAACGAGTTGAAAAATTTATCGATCCGATTTGTCTCATTATGATGGAGCTCTTCTTTTTTTCAGAAGATAAAATGCCCGCGCGCGTCCTAATGGCTTGAAATCAGAAACACACAATAAAATTGCATCGAATTTATTATGAATGGAAGAGAGAGTCGAATTTCGCTCCAAAGAAGAAAGAAGAATAAGAAGAAAAACACGTTGTTCTTATCTTTCTGTGTAAATGCACACGAACCCCCTTTTAAGCCTCTGTTCGAATTCAAATTGTCTAATAGAAAGTTTATACACATAGATACTTGCACTTTGCCATATAATATTTGATTTATCTTTCGATCTACTTCAATTAGAAGTCAAATTAAATAGTTACTCTTGCAAGTGTATACTTTAATTTCATTTTTTTGTATTTCATTGTACATTAAAAAAATAACCAAAAAAAGCACATTTTATTTCCAAAAACGACAACGTCGGTTTCAAATTTAAATATAAACTCGAAGAGAACCGAGTCAGATCGTAAATTCATTGAATATATACACAGCATGCGATAGAGAGTGAACGGGATTTCGTGTTTAAATGCATTTAAGCCGACACACCAGCGACCAGCTAACGAAGAAGAAAAAAACGACAAGCGCACCTAATAAAATAAATCAAATACATTTCAGCAAATGCGAAAATCAATGTTATTCGGTGTTGTTTAAAAATTTTGATTTGCAAGAAAACAAACCGACTGAACAATACAGGCAAAGAGCGAAAGTGGTTTTTTTTACAATATACACGGATATTTTTTTCGTTCAGTTTCATTTCGATTTGATTTATGTTTATATAATGGACACACGGTGTGTATGTGCCCACCAACGGATTCGCAGCGCCTTTCTTTTCAACACACTTCAATATTCAACAAATGTGCTTTCAATCGCGCGTCAATTTATTCATTAAAGAAATTTATAATAAAAAAGCAAGCACGATTACACACAGATAAAATGACGATGAAGAAGAAAATTGTATGTTTGTTTATGTGTCACGTACCGTATTTTTTTTTTTATTGACTTTGTTTCGATTCATTTGCTCGAAATTCATTCAATACGCCACATAAACTTTGGTGGTGGCATTCATAAAAAAACACATCGAGCACAAACATTTTATTTTCATCTTGATTTTGACAAACAAATTCCTTACCCACATCGATGCCCGCCGATGCCATGGCAAATGCCATTATATAAAAAATAGAGACAATAAAATAATAAAAAAATGCGCCATTAATCGCAAGCTTGATTTGCATCGCACATTTTCAATCATGTGTTAAAGAAATTAATCACATATTTCATTCGATTGAGGATTACAATTTTGTTGTTTTGATTAATTTTACAAGCTATTTTACGACTTTGTTGCATCAGAAGCGTATGCCAAATGTGCGCTATTCAATGAAAATTTAAAATGTCTTGAACGGCATTTGCGGCCGAATCACGGCTAAATATTGGTGGTGGATGTTCGGTTGGCAATTTGGCGCCAATCCATTTTATTACCATGTAGTATTGTATCGATGCCATTTCTTTCAGTACCGTCTCCTCGGGAAATCAAAGAATACAATAATTCTTCAATACAACAAAGTGATTAATTTGAATAAATTACAGCTATTTTTGTTTAGACGTTCGCTTTTCGTTCATTTCTTTATTTTCAATTTGACATGTGCTAATCACTTTTGTTCACAAAAATGAACCAAATTTTGGTAACAGTTGCTAAAATCGTTTTTTATAATTTTAAATCAAGAAAATGACTTATAATTAACATGTGACAAAAGTCATTTAATAACCGCTTTGGTCAATTCATCTGTAATTCTCCGTACGCATCAAAATCTCTGTAATTTACATTTTTTTTAGACATATGTGTCTTGCTTTTTCGTTCGATACAAATGAAATAATTATTGGTACGGCTTTTCTGAGGTGTGCATGTGTGTGTATATAAATAACTGTATGAAACAAATCAATCAGCAGTTTGAATAACGTTGAGAAATGCCAAACATCTGTTTTACATAAATTCAATTGGTTGTGATGATGAATTAATAAAAGAATATGATTATTACACGCAACAAACGGCGCACATCTTTACAATACAACATTTTATTGCAGAAATTGAAAAGAAAACTTATTATACAGACATACATAAAATTCATTATATTTAATAATAAAATTTCAACACAATCTTTTTTCCTTTGCCTTTAATTTATCTGTGCAGCTCTAGACCGGGCCGACCACCAAAACGAGGACCTGTCGGACTATTACCTTCCAGCCATTTATCGCATCATCCACAGATGAAAAAACATCGATTGGATAACGGTGACTACCCATATGAAAATGGGCACATGAATGGTGAGTCTTTCGATACATTTCAATCAACCAAATAAATTGGTGTCGCGCCAACCTCAAACACTATGCTTTAATTCAAACCGATTTTCGTGGAAATATGTGATTTACTGTTAGGTCAAAACGTTTAAACATAGCCGATTAATTTGCTCGTGTCATCGATGCGCTCGATTTCTTTAAATTCTTTTTTAAAGATTGCAATTAAATCGGGAGTTCGTTTGAATATAAAAACAAATCATTGAACTTATGGTTCAAATTCTTTCTTCATTTTTTTCTTAAATATCGAAATTTATATTCGCAGTTTTTGCCGTTAATAATACGAATCAAATAAATATCGCACTCACGTCCGAATTCCGATCGTGAAAAAGTTATTTAATACGCAGGAATTTCATCAATAGATGCGTATTGATTGTGTGGCATTGGCAAAAGCGGCGCATCACTTTCAAACCAATCATTTTGTGCAGCAACAACAACGAAAATAGTCTGCTAAATGCGAAAATCACCATTTGTATATTTATACTTTAAATGGTGTGATGAGTGATCGAATAGGCGCACGCAGTGTCCAAAATGCATAAGTCTGCACAAAATACTAGTTACTTTAAACCGAACAACGAACGATAGAAACTGAAAGCACACTGACCAGAATAAAAAAAAATGAAAGAATTGAAGCACAACATAAACGTTTATTATAAAATGATAAACGCTAACCCAATAATACCATCACTTAATTGACGAGAGCCTAAACGATTGACCAAAAATACATAGTAATTTTGTAATTTTACAATAAAATTTATTCTCTTCGATTGTGTTCGAAGCGATTCGTCTTTATTTTCTGTTCGTTAAGACTCTTGCTTTCTGTGGGTCGATTTTTTGTTGCTCTCTTCATTTACCTTGATCGGTCGCGTATTGTTTTAATGACGCGTCTGGTATAAACGTGCGCTTGCGTTCATCAAAACTCTCTAGCTCTCTCTGTATCCCTCCATGGAATTTATGCTAAACGCATAATACCATATTTCGATTTTGGGTCGGCAATGCACTTTTCTCTCTTTCTTCGATGTCGTCGTTTTCTGTTTCTTTTCGATTTCGAACCATAGGCGAAAATACAATAGTTTTAAAAATGTGTAAATATAACCCGGAGCATTTGTGAATTAATAGCGTGTTATCTGTGTGCACGAACGATCGAAATGTAAAAAAACACACAGAGATAATTTGAGAGAATCAATACGCGGGCAGATTTTATTTTTGCCATTGATCGGCTGTTGATGTCTTTTATATTATTTTATCCAATTTTTCGTTGCTTCGAAAACAGGTTAAACGACGATAATAGTTTTGATAAAACAATTTGTTAACCATATAAAACTGTTCAATGGTGCCAGGTGATATTTCAGATTCCGAACAAAATCAAAAGGTCTCGAGACAAAATTGGCGGAAACACCGAAGAAGCAACGAATAAAACACGTTCGAAACGTTAAGAATCTGATGTGCTTAACAACGAAATACAGTTATTTGTAATGAATCGAAATGACGTTTTTTGCAGCCACATATTTTTTCGGTCCATCAAAATTGCAGGTTGTGATCGCTCGAATTCATTTCTTGGTGATTTATGCATTATCAAGTATTCAATTTGTACGGAATTTTCGATTTTTTTTTTCGTTATTGTGGAATTCCTTTTTATTCGGTGCTCTTTTTTGGTTGTCATTCTGACCGAAAAGTAAAAGTGGCGTTTGCATACGTGGAATTCGAACTTGAAAACAACTACGACAGCGAAAAAAAAAGAACCAGGGACGAATGAAATATATTGTTCATTGTTGAAATTGTTTTGCCATTAGCTGATTAATCTTAACAAGGTACATTTGATAAGGCTAATTCAATATAAAAATTGATTACGCCAAATGTCTGCACGCACATCCCCTTCGCTGTACAATTGCTCCCTCTCTCTCTCTCTCTCTCTCTCTCTCTCTCTCTCTCTCTCTTTCTCACTCTGTATTGTGTCAATTGTTTTTTCGTGTTATAACTACTTCGAACAATGACACAATCCGCAAAATCGAATGAAAAATGTTAATAAAAGGCAATAAATACACGTGAATATTATTGTTGTATCATTTGCTGGAACTGGTTGTGAGACACGGCCGACATATCGCGATGATCAGATATCCACCTTTTGTATGTTATACGGAGTGTTAGCAACAACAACAAAAACACACACATATGTGAAATTTACATGCGTGAGCATTTGTTATCGCATATGTTAAGAATAAACATATATATGCGAAAAGAGCGCACAATAAATACAAAACACTTTTTGGAGTTGTACATCAGAGAGTGACAGTGTCAAAGCAAAAAACACGAAGAGACAGACTGAAACACACAACACTGGAGGTTAAAACCAGTATAAAGTCGCAAAGTGCAAAGTACTTTTTGTAATGCAATGATAAACGCCAAAACAACGGCGAAAACGAAACACACCAAAATTATGTATGTGTAATTGAAGTCCCGATTAGAAGCAGTGTTTTGCGAGAAAAAAAAACAAGGAATGTGTGTGCGCGAGTAAGCGAACACTCATAATGCGAAATGCACAACTTCAAATCCATCGAATTTGGCCCACAAATTCACATTCATTCAGAGTGTGTACGATTGTACGTCGAAGCAATTAATCGGCGTGGTAGCAACAACAGCGACGGGACGACATTATCGAGTGCATTGTGCATGCACAATTTAATCATCATCATAAAAAAATTATACACAAAACATATTAATCGTACTTATATTTCTTCAATTGATGGTTGCACTGTGCTCATTTCACTTCGATTGAAATGCATACATTGCACACAATACAGTCCGATCCCGTTCGTTCAGAGTCGTGTTCATGGATGTTTATTATTTTAATTGTTTTTGATCCGAACGCGATGTGCCGCTCGCCTTGCGTATTTTGCATTTTATTTCCCGAATACTCGTACGTGTACACTGCACACACATGAAAGACACAACTGAAGATATATTCATAAACTAAACACTTGATAAAAAAAGAGTCAGGCTCAGTTTCCAGGGAAATGTACACACATTCACGTGCATTGAGAACACCGGCAATGCCACTGAGATGGAGTTAGCAAGAACGGAACCAAAAAATGCATTCGAAACAAAGAATAACAAATACTATGTAATTATGAATGGCAGTTATAGAAATGCAATAAGGAAAGAAAGAAAGGAAAGAAAACAAGACGGAAAAGAAAGAAAAATATAACATAAATGCTAAACTGTTTAAATAATTCATTTTTATTTGTTTCGTATGATAATTGTAGAGTAAACGAAGTTATTCTTCATTCCAAATGCTAGTTTTTCATTTGGTTTGAAATATAAAATGCACTCACTTGCATCTCTTGTTTTCGACTCTGTCTTTTCACTTGTGCTACAAGCCCGAGAATTGGTAATTTGTCGTTTCAAAGAGCATACGAATCGGTGCATTATCTTCTTTTATCTGAATGGTGTTGTTGTGCCTGCCGAATTCTGAAAAAAAAAATGTTTTTAAAAAAATAAAAGAACGACAACAAAACCGCATTTCACGAACGAAACCACAGCCGGCACACGCACTTTATTTATCTTCTCTCAATTCACTATCTACCCAGTCGACTGCTCAGCATATTTAACAGAGCCGAGTGGAGATTAGATTTCGTAATATTTGTAAGAGAGAGAATGTGTAATTTATTGGTTAACTTCCTCTTATAAGGTAAACTCGATTGCTGTCTGCATCCGATTGCCGTGCAAAGCTGCCGAACCAAAGAGGAAATCCACTTCTTCATATTGTTTAGTTCGTTTCTTTGAAATGAAAGAGAAAGAACCAGTGAGCTTTAGTCCGCCCAGCCGTACGTTACCGGTAATTTTTCGTGGTGTGTAACTGTTCACCAGTAGGTTATATTGTGTGTACCTGAGCTCTTAACACGCGACCGAAAATTGAATGAAAAGACACAACCACAAACAAAAACTGATAAAAACGTATAGAAAATCCGTTGTTGGGCGATCGATTTGCGATCAACACGCACATTATTTAAATCAAAACAAATAATTATAACATAACTCGATTCGTGTAGATTGAAAATTTATGGACACGTCCAATACCAAACAAACCATTTTTTTCACGAAGTGTTTTATTATTTTAACACAATTTTTCCCAATCTCGACTTGAAGTTGGAATTTTTTTCCTATCTCGTCCGCTTTGCAGGGTGATTTCTTTCTCTCTTACGCTCATTATCTTCACGATAGTCCAAAACGTATTATTTAATATTTATGAATGATTGTCATGCGAATGTGAGACGTCTTCACCAAGATCAATTTGCCTGAGAAATGCACAGATACACAGCGCATTCCAGCATTCTTAAATCAATGAACTTGACGATATGATACGTCATGCCGGCTCATCGTTTTTTAAGTTATTCGTTGCGATAATTGACTGTCGGTTTCCATTAAACAGTGCCGAACAAATGAAGTGCCATAGAGACAGCGCATTTACACTACTTTGTTAAATGAATTGCTGATTATTCGTGATATTTAATGCAAATTCACTTTGAGATTTTTTTGCTATTCAGTTCAAAATATGTTTTTCAATTCGCTCAGTTTTCTTAAAGCTTTGCATAGTAAAAATTAGTCTGTTTGATGATTTGAAATGTCTGATTTTCACTATTGCAAGATTTTCTTCCGAAAAAGAAATGCATATTTTCTAATAAAAAGTACTATATTTCATCCTCTGACATCGATTCCATTTCAAATAATTTATAATGGATGAAAAATAATTTCATAATAGAAATATATCGTCAGAATTTTAGATTCATTGACCTGCTTACATCATTTTAGTCGAAAAAGTACAAACAAAATGTATTGCTCCTCAATTTTTTCGGTTGATTGCTGAAACAGAATGTCGATTTATCTATTTTGTTTCTATTTGCACCAAATGTTCACAAAAAATTGTGTGCGACCAAAAAAATGCAAGAAAAAAAATCAATTGATGCATGATATATGTTGCCATCCGATCTCGAAATAACTCGATTTTTCAAACAAAGATGTTATTGTGTAGTTTGCAAAAGTTTTCCATTATTATTAGAATACAAAAAAAAAATTTAATGCAAAAATAATGAGTTGCCATTATTTGTTGGTCTCGCGTTTTCGTTCCTTTCCATTCGAATAATGTTTATATGGGCATATTTTTCCTTGTTTGCGTAACATTTTATTAAAGTCAATAAGTAAGAGTGATTAGTTTTTGTTTGTGTTTTGTGGTTGGAATCCATTGCTTTTGTCAATAATCGGCGTCCAAATTTGGTACGATTGTGGTTAAATAATGCGTATCTCTTTCACTCCTCAGTTTAATTTGTCGAACCACACAAATTGCTTGTTACATTGTAAATGTTTCTCTTTAAATGTCACTTTTTTCCTTGCCGATTGTTATGTAATTTGTCCCGGTAATTTGTATTTTTCTTTGTAAAAATATGAAAGTCGAACATTTATATTGAATTGGCAGTGACAATTGTTAGTATTTGCAAGTAAAGTGCGTATGATTGGGGTGAAGCAGTATAAAATTAAAAACAAAAAATGAAAGACACTTTGGGCATGGATTTTCCATGCATATGTATTTTACTTTGAAGTTGTTACAATACATTTTTTTGTTGTTGGCGAACAGTGAACCGCCGTGGCAAAAGTAAATAATCCAAATCGAAGCGAGTCGTGAATTAAACACACGGGAATGGAAATGAAAAGTAGCTAATAACTAATATGAAAAATAAATATGGCAGCATTTTATTAATAATAACAAAAGAAAACGACGAGAGCGAAAGAGAGACAAAGTGAAATAAAGAGTACGACGACAATCGATGTAGTTTGCCCATTTCAACATATTTTTGAAAATGCGCGTTTAAATTTCACATACGCAAACACGGCGTATTTTGTTTTTTTGACTGATGGCTAAAATTGTTACTAGCTTGTGGGGAAAAATGATTATTCCTTGTTTGTAGCGGTCGAGACAGATGTACTCATTCTCCTTCTCTCTCGCCGTGTGCATCTCGCTCTCTCGTTGGTTTAACATTCATTCGTCAATACATGCGGCTGTCTTCGTGTGTATATGTGCAATCGACACGTTCAGGTCCAACAATTGAAATATACACGAATTATAATGTACTTATAACGAAGTGAGAGAGCAACATGCAGGAGAGCTCTTGTCAATTTCAATGAAATACACACATCGACATACTTATTACAAACAAATACAATTGCATAAATGAATAATTTTTTTCTTTGCTTCTTCTGTATTTATTCGACGTATTGTTGTTGCATTTATTTCTGGTCGCCTCTTTCATCTTGTTTATTTACAGTGCCGTTCATTGTTGTTGTTTTTTTCTCTGTCTCTTTTTTCAGTGCGTTCAGCTCGAGAATTATTGCGTGTAATGTTCGACCTAATAATAATAATAACATATCTAACAAATATTTTTCAGCGTACATTGTTATTAAATGTGCATTATTTTTTATGTTGATGTCTGTCTGTCTCTCGTTATTAGTAATCTAAATTTGTGCAACGCACATTTGCGACCCGATGCCAATCTATAGAGTAGATTTCTCACTCTGCTGCTCTCGTTTCGGGTGCGTAATGCACATTTTTGGGTTTTTTTCTTTATCCTTTTCACATTTAAATTTTGCCAAACAATTTTCTCTGTTTATCCCGGCTGTTATTCTTACATTATTACAACACATAATTTTTTTTCGTTGTTCCGGGAGATGATTCTCCGCAGGCTAAGCTTACCAAATCTGTTTTTGTTTGGTTTTTCCATTGTTTTCCCATCGCAACATACATTACGTTTGATTTTTTTTTCTTTTTCAATATCAAAATATATTTGAATTATTTGTGAACGAACATATATGAATTAAAAAAAAATTACATCATGTCAACGAGGCAGAGCGAGCACCAACATGGCATCATTTTATAAACGGGCGAAGAATGTAACAGATCAATCCGGATGGGAAAAAATGTCTGATTGGAATTTTTGCGGTTATTTTGAAATGTGCCGACAATAATGTTCCGATTCAATTTTATTGTTTTGTTTGTGTGTGATCGAACCTTGGCGAGCTACCGAAATGGTCGTTTACAAAACCAGAAAAATGCCGGTAAATCAATTACACACACATTGATTCAAATGTAAACAAATTGACAAATTCATTTATCCAAAATGACGTGCGAAAGCTTACATTCGACACAATGCAAATACTGTTGTGCATTATTTAAAATGAGTCATTCCTGGTGCGCATTTTGTTCATTTTAATTAAGCATTTGAAAGCAATCAATTTTCTGGTTTTTATCTGACAATTTCCTGCTCATCGCTTCTCTGTTACTTTTGTTCTCTCTCTCTCTCTCACACACACACACATTCTTTATATATCTATCTTTTTGCTGCGAGTCGAAAAAACGGCGAAAATGATTCAAACATTGGAATTGGAATAAAAGTCTCGTTGTTTAATTGAACAGAAAAGCAAATATCGCGATCGTGTGTATGTTGTATTATTCGCGTAGTTACGTGTGGCTTGTTGATTTATGTCTATGCGGCGGCTGATTAAGGAACAAAACTAAACTCCGAGAAAAAAATATGAGAAAATAACCGAGACAAAACACGAAAGCGCACTGCAAAAAGATTGAAAACGTAATCGTTTCTTTTTTTCTTTCTTCTTGTATTGCTGCTATGCGATTTCATTTGCCTTCGCACATAGCCATAGATCGTATTGCACAAAAAGCGCACAAGAGTCCATGTTGCAAATCTGTGTGCGCCTTCACCCATGCATAGAGAAAGAGAGAGAGAGCCACAGCCACACACCACTTCAGTAGTTATCTTAGCTACAGATATTTTCAATCTCAATATGGTATCAATGTGATGATTAAAAGAGTCTTCTTTAACATTCTATTCACAAAAATATATTGAATGGTTTTTGAGTTTTTCTTTGGATCTTTTTCAATACACACACATCGAGGGCATCAAGGCATAGACACAGATCGAATGAACAGAGAAAAAAGCATTAAGTACATAAACACATTATACACTCAATCTGATGAATTGGTTACCCTGGTTATGCTCATTCGATACCGATTACATGCTAAATACGACTTGCTGTACAATATATTGGCAAAAACATAAGCGATGATGTATCCTCTCTTTTTCAAATGGGAATTATTGCGACGATACGTGTTTAACCTGCGCTTTTGATTCGTTAACGCGTTTCATTTTAGATAACATATTTTTGTTGTTATTCACAGGCCTTTTGTCTTCTTTTTTGTTGGTGTTCTTTCTTCGTTCGACTCATTTCGAGTGGCAAATTTTTATCTATCTCTTTGGCAGTTTTCGGTGTGCATACGATGTATGTGTAGTACTCGTAGCACACTCTGTTTTCAGTACCGTGCGTTATGTATTTCATTACGTTATCGTATCAATTTTAAGTGATTCCACTTAAGCGATAGAGTGCAATAGTGTTTTGCGTTGATAACGATGATATGAAAAAATGAGCAAAATTCTATTAACATTACGTTTAACGTTTTTTTTCTCTTTTGATATGAAATTTGCAGATATTTCGAGGTTGGAGAAATCCCCACTTTTGGCAAACGGTTACAATCCACCGCCAACACATTTGAATCACATGCAATTTATGCAAATGAACCATCATCCTGGTGCCATGATGAGTCCTGGCTTACCGCCACACGGACTACCACGACACGACAGCCAACTCATGAAAGGACAACCGAATCTACCCAACATGGATGCCATTGCCAGGTAAAAAACCATAAGACGAAAATATTGAATGGAGGTGCTATTATGAAATGTACTCATAAAATTACATTGTTTCATCACAAGGTCTGGCATTTGGGAAAATTGTAGAGCCGCTTACGAAGACATTGTTAAGCACTTAGAACGGTAGGTTTTCGATTCTCTTTACATTTCAATCAAATCAATTCTCATTCGAATATATTAGAGCTGTTACTGAATTAATTTAAATTTCATTATAAATGACCATCATTTTTCGTTCATTTCGTTATACAGATTGCGAGAAGAAAGAGTTGACGATCGAAACCAAATCAGCGAGCAAAAATCAAGGGAGCACACATCACATAATGGTGAGCTTTATTCGAATTATTTTTATTTTCAGATTACAATCAGACCTGAAATTCTTGAATTTCACCTTAATATCCTTGGATAGAGATGTATTTCCTTTAAAATTGAACTGAACTTTTAAAAATTGAATTGAAACGAAAAACTTGAGCAAATTTTTTTTTCTTCCGAAATCAATCGTAAAACCAATCCGTTTACATTTTAATTCAAATCAAAATAAGGTTCATCAAATGGTCATAGTCCGGTGTTAAATCTCTCAAAATCTGGTGGTTTAGATCAAGGCAGTACCGGCGATCAGAGTGATCGAAGTGAGAATCAATCACCAGCACCATCCATTCACGATGAAGATGAGAATCTAAGCGAAGACAATATATCCGATGTTGATGAGCGCGAAGCAAAGGACGAAGGTAAGTCGCATCAAATGTCAGCTTAAAACATCAACAACAAAAACCAACACTTCCGATTTTAAAAACACACACACACACAATCTAATGATGGTGACCGCAAATAAAAAAACACTCTTCATTTTCTAACCACAAAAAAAAACACACGCGGTATGTAGATTTGAGTGATAATGAACGTGATAACGCAGCCCAAGCACCATCGTCACAAGTTCCAAATTCCGATGCGCATCAGCAGGCAATAAATTACACATCGTTAGCGGCTACCGCTGCAGCCGTGGTAGCCAGTGGTGTGAAGAGCAATGTTTCGGAACAAGAACAACAGAATTTATCATCGACCGAGACGCTATTACGAAACATCCAAAGTTTATTGACTGTCGCCGCTGACAATGCCAGACAACAGGAACGTCAAATCAGCTATGAAAAAGGTACGTGTATATGAAAATGTTTTAGTAGCATTGACGACGATGAACAACAACAACGTTGACGACCAGTAAAAAAGTGCAACTCATTAAACTAAGCATGGTTCGTTGTTTGGTTCATAGTTTTTGCGCCCCTTCTTTCTCAGCCGTATTTCACTTGACTCGGCCGAAATTATCGATTTGTATTAATTATTCGCGTGGTGGCTGTCGCGTCGTAAACAATTGGCAATCAAAAATCAATTTCTATTACAGCCACTTAACGAAGGTGTCTATTAAATAATTTAAAATTAACTTGTATACGTACCATATTGATGTTGAATAAAGACAGAAAAAAGCCGTCGGCACTTTGTCGGCATCGCATCACATAAACGGATAAAGAATATATGCTCAAATTAGACATGAAACCTTTTTTTAAATTCAAAGTGAATACAACTCTAATTATCTTTGCTATTATTTTTCTCTTTTTTTGTACTTTTTTCGCGATTAGCTGAACTTAAAATGGACGTTTTGCGAGAGCGCGAATGTAAAGATACATTGGAGAGACAACTGTCCGATGAGCGAAAACTTCGAGGTAAGTTAAAGTTTGTTTATGACTCTTTGATTAAAATATCCAAAGGAATGAAAGACGACAGAAAAATGTCAATTCATTTTAAAGTCGAATGTCAAAAATGATTAGCTCAAATTATATTCCGTTTAAATTGATATAATTTTTTGCCTTATTTGTGCGGATTCTCGGAAATTCAATCCACCATTTCTTCCAGTTCATTCCGTTTTTCGGCGTAGACTGTGTTTTATGTATTGTTTTTGTGCATCCGAATTTAAATAATAAAAAAACGAGAGAAATAGTATTTTGGCGTACAAAATGTTTTCATACCTTGAAAATGCAGCCATAAATGAAATGAATCCAAGTGCTTATCCAAGCAAAAAGAAAACGCGCCTAGCGTGTGGCCACTCAGCAGAAATGTAGAGAGAAAGAGAGAGCAACAAAAATGAATAAGAAAAATAAAAACGAAGTAGCGTCCTGTCATTTCCGAGATGGTTGTAAACGATCACAAAGTAAACAAATTATGACTGCATCTCGTTTTCGTTTCGAAAAGAGACACAGATTCTTTCTTTTTATGTTTTGTGCGATTTAATATCTGTCATTGGATTTATTGAAGTGAGAAGGAAGCTTGAGTCATTGACTAGAAAATCAGATAAATGCAAATTGGACTCTGTATTTTCTGGTAAATTTTTTCGGGAGGAGTCTATTGGACATAGATTGAATTTCAATTTCGAACACACTCACTCGATGTGTGTGCATTCAGTCAAAAACAACATATGGCAAATGAGACCCATTCGCAACCGAACTTATGAAATTTATAATTTAAACAAGAAAGAATGCAATCGAACGAACGAGAAAAATATGTCTTTTGCAATGTTTTGCTACGGGCTGCTTTTTTTCTACTTCTTATTTTTCAACCAAACGAACATTGTGTGATATTAAATTTCGTTAGTTTTAATGTGTGCACCAGGTTAAGACACACGGTCATGTTCAATAAGCACACGTATACACAGGATGTCAAGTGGATTGCGTATTGCGGTTGACTTTTCGGCGCCAACGTCTCAATATTATACGATACCAAATTAATATTTTTATTTTGCATTCTTTTTTTCGCCTTTTGCCAATCCAACAAAGGCTTTTGGAACATGCGTGCGCTCGTGAGTGAGCCCAATCCACTGGTTGTTGTCTTTTCTTGCGCCATCGATTCCAATTAATCGATTTTCCTTTTGTTTCCTTTTGAACTTCTTAAATGACAAACGAAAAAAGGATCATAGTTACATTTTATACCAACTTTCCTGGCACTTTTTTTTGCTTTGGTCATTTTTTTGTCAGATACGATTTCAGCAAACATTTTTTTTACTAATGTCATATGTTGAAGAAATAATTATTCAACCGTTTTGACATTTTTCATTTGAATGAAGACACAAATGTCCGCATTTTCAAGGAATTTGTTTGAAATAAGTTCTTCCAGCTGTTTTAATTTTATTAGAATGAAAAGATGTCCATTGAATCAGTTTAAACTGAATCAGTTCATTTAAAATTAATTTAAAGTCTTATATTCAAACTAAAGCAGGACTTGAACACAGCGATCGTTTTATTAATAATAATAATTATTTATGTCATTCGCTTTCAATAATTTACGAATAAATATATCATTTTATTCTCTTTCTATAGTTCTGTATCAGAAGCGCTTCAAAAGAGAACGAAAGCTACGCAATCGTTTTGAACAAAAATTGGAAGTTGAAACGAAACGTCGCACTCAAATTGAAGATGCACTTAAGGCTTCTGGCGCTCCAGCTGAAGCCTTGCGTTTATTATCTGGTAAGTAAATATTTAGATATATACTCACCTTCATGATTTTTTCTACTTAATTATGGTTTCTTGCAAGTAAATTGAATTATGTCTGAATTGATTTTTGTTAAATGCTTCTCTTGCTTATTCAATTGGTGTTTGTTTCTAATTGTCTCTGTCGTATAAATCAGCTTTTTTATTTTTAACACATTTTTACATCGACTCTTTGGTAACAATTTTTTTTTTCGATATTTTGTCCCCGAAAAACAATGTAGAATCATCTGGTGATCGAAAAGAAAAGCCGTCGTCGGCCGATCGCCGCACTGAGAGTCCTTACACAAACAACCGTGAGTCTTTATCATCTCAACAACCACTTACTAATTAACTGTAGTCTCTTGAACAGTTTACTCGTACTGTCTCAAGATTCGACAGACTGAAATGTTGCGTATTCAAACCGAATAAACCTTCAATCATGTTGAAAATTGAAATTAAAATTCTGTATGGAATTGCGCCACTTTTCAATCTACGATAATATCGATGGTAAAGGGTATTTTAGGCGTTGCGATGATAATAGATTCATTTAACCATTAGCATAGCATTTGAGAAACATACAAAAACTCACTTTTCGCTTGAAATAGTAAAAAAGAAATAAGACAAAACAATTGCGTTTAAATAACCCTTTCAACCGCTGACTATATTGCCGCTTTATTAGAATTTTCACTTAAAAAAAATAGACAAAAAATATTTTTAAATTCTTCTTAAAAGAAAAAGTCATCCATTTTTCAATTTAATTCACTAATGGAAAAAAATTCACATTGAAATCTTCAATTTTGAATAGAATCACTGCATGAGATGGAAATGGAACGAAAAACACGTCAACAAACTGGCGATCGTGATGTGAAAAGTCCATTTCAGGAGAGGCCAAATTACTACAAAAATTCGGTTTTATTCAGCAGTGCGACTTAGTCGAATGGCTCATCATCGGAACAGTGACTAAATAAAATCGATAAAAAATTTCATTGAAAAAAAACATACACAGTGAAAACGATTAAAAAAGTGAAACTAAAAAATGTGCAATGATTCAGTTTGTATCGTTCGTAAAAGTGAAAGAAAATTTATAAAAATGAAGTATATCGACGAGTGAATGTGAACGTTTATGATGATGATGATGATATCGGAGACATAAGAAGCGCCTGCCGTGTGTTCGGTAATATTGGTTAAAATAAGTGCTAATGTGCTCATCAGCAACAACTCTTTTCAACTAATACAGATCCAGATCTCAAGTTTTCCCAAACACACACAAACATATACATATACAAACAACACTCGATTACACAATCTCTTATAAATCTAGATTTAAAGATGAAATAAAAAAATTGTATTAGCAGGTGAATTTCTATGAGGTTAATTTACATTTTCACATAATAATTAATCAAAAAGTAGAGAGGTTAAACTGGCGGAAAAAAAGGAATGCGGTGAATAAAGATTCATATTGATGAGATTTATTCGTGTGTCGCGCGCGAATCAGTAGTAAGAATACAAGCGTATTTATAGGAAAAACCCAAGTAAGACTATCATAAAGAGAAAAAAATGAAATGATTTAACGCATTACTCGCATAGAGAGTAATTTACTAATTAAAATTTCAAAATTAGAAGATTTTAACGGAAGAAAATCCACAAACATACATACACATAATTTACAGAGTAAATGAAAGAAAAAATGCATACGCCCACTTTAACATTTAACCAATTTATAAATTCCTATTTCTTTGCCATAAATTATTTGTATTAACTTAAACTTAGGTGAATTAAAATTTAAAGAAAAAAAATAAGTAACAATATCACAATAATATAAAATTATAAAAAAACCGCAGAGAAAAATCGAGATTCATTTAAAAAATGAAGAGAGATATGATTGAACCTTTTGCAATTGCAATTTTAAAATTGAAAGTAATAGGTGAAACAGAAATACTAAACCAGATAGTAATTATTGGAATAAAAACAAGGGTGCGAATGAGTTAAGAAAAAGCCAGAAAGAATCATCTCAGAGTGAAAGAGACGAACCGACGCAACTTCTATATCACATACACAGTAGAAATTGTTTATTAAACAAATTAAATAATAATCTTAATAATTAAGCTAACCATTAGCAATAATAAACACACAGAATTAATTATGCTACCGACGGAGGGAGGGATAGAATTTTTCCCCCATCGCTCACGCGCAAAATCGCCATTTTCTTCACAATTCGTTCTGTTGACTCCAAGGGAATGGCACGTATATGAGAGACATGGCGACGTGCCAAACCGTAACGCCATCTATCGGATAGAATCTGAATTACAAATTTCGTATTGACTATCTCATATTTGTGTAATTTTGTACATAGAACTATAAGGTTTATTCCGACAAATTTGTAAGGTTTTTGTTCGCCAACATTTTATATAGCATGCCATACCCTTGGTTGACTCTTTTCATTTTATTTGTTCTTGTGTCGCTCTGAGTTTGAAGCTGCGTGAGTGGACACACCATTTCGTTTGATGTTTTCATCCAATTTTTTAGTGTTAAATTAAATTAATTTTTAATGATTAACAAGAAATGTTCCGTGTTTTCAATATGCTGTTGTGATCGATTTTTTGCTTGTAAAAATATAGTGAACAAACGCACGATGCTCAGCACTATGTGCTGACTTTTTACTTTTCTTAAATTCTACACACTATTTTCACCTAAATTACTCTCTCTCTCTCTCTCTCTCTCTCTCTCTTTCGCATGAAAAAGCATGTCAAGACAATACTAAGAGATACAGAAAGGGACAGAGTGTTTACAATGTGTGAATTTATAGTCCATCTTCAACCGTTTCACACGCATAGATCCTTTAACTTTTTTCTGCAAGAACAAAAAACGGCAAAAAGTTTTCACTTTTGGCACTTTGATAATTGGTATGGGCGTGCGCTCATATCACACATGGCATTTCGGACGAGTCACAAATCAACATTTTTTTGGCAAGTTGTTTTCATTTTTAGACGAATTTCAAATTGGGTATAGGTTTATCAAAGCGCGACGATGACAAGCAACGTTGACAGTAGCGCCATGGTGCGGTTGCCAGCGAAACTAAAAAAATGACACAAATTTCGATCGCCCAAATCAAAAATGGTACAAATTTGTGCCACCCAACATAAACAGTGGCAACCATAATGAAGTTGCTGCGTTGCCCAGCTGTCATTGTCTTCGTGCCTTGGTTTATGAAATACTGAGATGCAAAATTCACCATTGGATAAAATAATACATAATAAATTGCTTAAAAGAAATGGCAGATCTATTAGAACTTAATAAGAAATAGAAAAGCGTGATTGATGATGACAATCGAATTGCCGAAGATGAAATCGAATTGAAATGTAAGTAACTGCCGTCGCCAAATTCTAGCGTCATTTTCTCTATTTGAAGACATAATAGTGTCATACTAGATTTGTTGAAAGACAGTCCCATTGCATAATGCAAAACGCTATAAACAATGGAAGAGCCGGCGCAAAGATATGAAGCTCGCGTGCGTCATATATGCAACGCAATAAGCATGAACAAGATTGAAAATCAGAATTAAATGATTTTTTTTTTCGATAAAGAAAACAATATATTCTCTACATTCATACATCTCTCTTCTCCTCTTCTGTATAACTTCTATGGAAAATATACGAACACATACAGACACAAGAAGATAATGAAGCAAAAAAAATTAACATTTAATCGTAAACTAAATGAATATGAGAACTCTAACTAAATATAAAAGTATATGTAATTGTAATTTGTAATTGTAATTTTAAATATACGACTACCCAGCAAACAATTGATAGGGCAAATGCATCCATTATGGAGCACATATTGACGGTCGTTTTCGGGGTTAGATTCGTGTGTAGTTTCAGTAATTTCCATAGGTTTGGCATGGTGGAACATTCAGGTGTGAAAACATGGAAAAAGGGAAAGACAACCATTAGTATCAGTTGAACTGGGTATAAAATACTTTTTTTAAATTAAAAACTTTACTCACCTACGGGCACTCCCCCTCCGTACAATGTTGTACTATTGTACAACTAGACCACAAGACTTTATATAGTCTGTTCATGTCTAGCTACGCTAACTATAATAGTTAAAATATTTTATTTTATGTAATTTTTTGAATGTATGATTAATTGATGATGTTTGTTAGTTGACATTGTTGTTTTACTCCGGCGGTCTTAACAATGAAACTGGCAATGGTACATCAAAGATCCGGCAAAGTCCTATGTAATTTAAAGCAAATACATTAAATAATGAATATTCTGTTTGCAATTGATTCATACCTTTGAGCATAATGCATGTTGCTGCAACAATATCTCGGTGCCAAGTAACTGTTTGTGGAACAACATCATCATCATCAACATTTAATGGACAATTTTTGTAGGTAACTTTAACCTTTGACATTAAACGCCCAGTCCGAAGTTTTTCGTTCACAGCCTCACGATTGCCATCGATAATTTGTCGCTTAATAATTGTACGTTTTCTTCTCAAAACACGTCTGTTGACCGTTGACACAATGATATCTGGCAGTCCAGCGACTGAATCTGGCAGGCCATCAATCTTTTTCGCTCTACAATCGTAGCACACTTTAAATCGATCATCTTTTGTGTGCCTTGGAAAACGTTCCTGACAATTCGCGCATGTTTGTGATGTTCCCCATTCATCTTGCATTTCAACTTCTGAATGTCCAAGTTTCTTAATGCTCACACAAAACTTACGCGATCCCGGACATCTTTTACGCTTTTTTATTCCAAACGGTCGATCGGGTTTCATCGCCCAAGCACCAAATTGAATCAACGACGGCTTGTTGTTTGTCACACGCACGGCGATTTGATCATTTACTCTGGTCGAGCGAATGTGATGGTCTAAATCCAGTCGTGCATATTCACGCGTCGCATAAGCTGCCATTCCTTTTCGTAACATTTTAATGCGATATTCAATGTATGATTTCCATGGTTAATTACGTGGTGATGGTGGACGATATGGGTATGTTTTGAGATGTTCCTTCTCTTCGATATCAAACCATCCAGCCAACTTTTTCGCTTCTTTGTCGCGTTTTTTCTGCTGAGTTTCCCAATGAAAACGCTGGTTTGGTATTATAATGTTTTCCTTCAAAATGCAAAATGATACAAAAAACTATGAGTTTCTATTCAAAACCATTTCAAATTACATTTCAAAATATCTTTCCTCAACAGCCGGCTCATCAGGTGTTTTTTTAATGTTGCGACGCACTACAGTTAACCACGATTTTTCATTCGGATCGATTCTAATGATGTATTTCTTGCCAATGAGTTTTTCCGGCCCCCGATTCGCTTGGGTTGTTTGCTGTGGTCGTTGTTGTCGCTGTGGTTTCTTGTACATTATGGATATTGAAACACTATCGGTCAAAATCTGATGATTGAATGATTTCGATTTGCCCAATTTATTTATTTTACCGACATCGAACAACATATTCCATAGACCTGATCGATCAGTTTGGGTGTAGTACTTTACTTTTCTCTTATTCATCCGGTTGGTCCGCGTATTGAGAAAAGAAGGCACCAAATCAAGTTCGTTTACAATTTTATTATACAAGTCCGTAATGTCCAATCGCACGTTTTTCAAATGGTAGTCGCATAATGGTATAAGAGCAAAACTGCTTATTTTTGGTGGTCGATTGATTGTTGGCTCTTGAAAGTTCGGATTGTTACGAAACATTTCATGAATGGTATTCCATTGTTCGGCATGACTGTGATACACTTCTATTTGCCGTTGCATTTGACCGAACAACCACAGTGATTCAAACCAACGATATTTTGCGAAAAATTTCATACTCACTGTTCCCGAACATCCAATTTCAGTCAAATCTCTCATTAAAATATTGAATTTTTCAACGCGTTGTGGATCCACATTATTACCATTATCACCATTTGTTAAATTCTTAAATCGATATGAAAACTCTTTGGCATTTCTGATGTCGATGCCATCAAATCTTGAGCCATTGTTGAATCGATTGCGATACCAACAACGCATTCGAAAAAAATTCTCAAGTCGTTTTTCACACCATGTGTTGGTATTGGTTTGAATGTTTGTGATATATTGTTTATAAAAATATCTCAAACCATTTCCCAACTTTTCATCATCTGGCCATCGGAACTGTTCTTCACTGTTTCTTTCTACCATGAAACGAAACTCGGGCAATATCCGATATTCACTATTAATATTGTTAACGTGTTGGTTTAATACCGCTCTGAAACAATCGGCAATGAACAGGCTTGGATGTGGTTGCAAAAAAAATGCACGATCGTCATTATCAAGTGCTTCATTCAAAATAAAAAGAATAAAAAGTGATGCCAATGCTGCCACTTCTGTCATTTGAACACTGCGCTCGAATAGCATTTTGGTCACAACTTCTCCAACTCTTTCAATCCGTTCATGTTGTTGTCGCAGAATTGTTTGAAGTCCACATTTTATTACAACGTATTTGCTTTCTTCTCGTTGATTATCATCGAGCTCGTCGTCATCCATGTCTTTTTCTGTTCATTCTCAAAAAACTGATTAAATTATTCGAAAATAAAAAAATAGACACCAATTTAGAAAAAAATGCAACAAAAATAGCATAGATTACGAATAAAATGAGATCACAATTTAAATGACAATCACTTATATCACAATTCAAATTAATCACTTCTTACCTCAACGATGTCACTCTGTATTCTGATTCAAATGATGAAATGTTTTCCAATATTCCGCAGATGAAAATTTTGTTGGAATATTCACCGTCAATTTTATGAATGCTTTCTTATTTTGAAATAACAACAGAGACAATCTCAAAACCAACAGTGAATTTATCCGTTTAACATCGAACAAACAAAATCATTGGAACAAATGTTAGCCAAAAATGACGACAAACAAATTATTTCATACTCTAATATAAACACTCACACATAATTCTCAAGAATTCCTTTTACAAGCAAAGCACAATTTGTTACAAACAAAAAATGAGAACACACTCATATCACAATTCAAATGAATAACTTCTTATACTATATAACGCTGTGTCCTGATTAAAACGATGAAAATGTTTTTTTTTATTTTGAAATGAAAACAAAGACTGTCACAAAACGGACTGTGAATCTTTCCATTTGACATCGAGTGACTTCTACAGTTACGTTCCAAACACACCAAACCGTTGCTAAAATGACGATAAACAAAAAATGAATCTCATGTACAAGAATTCCATTTATTAATCACTGAATTTTGTTTTTTTTTTTCAACACAATGGCAACTCAACCATAATTACTTACCTTATTCTTAACAATAACTTCAAAATATTTTGATGCGAAAAAATCCCTATTTAGTTCGGTGCCGGAATTATAATTTCATACATTGTTCAAAGAAATTAATTGATACGATGCAATGTTTACGAAGCACATTTTGAATGTAATTAGAAAAATCGGCTTCGATATGATACACACCAATACACACAGCTACCAACTGTCAAATGTCGTACACATTCAAACATGTTTCGAATTCGAAATTCGAATTTGAATTATGAAATAAAAAAAATAAAAAAATGTTTCTGAAACTAAAATCAAATCAAACAAATCTAAAAAAAAGGTACATTTATAAATGTATTTCACAGTCACTTGAAATTCCTACGCAATGTTTTTTTTTATTCATGCACAATCGAAACACACACAGAGAGAAGAGAGTAAGATTTGTATTTTCATCCTCTTTTTTTTCCGGTTTGTTTTTCAAATTTCATTTGCTTAAAATCAATCGTATGAATACGATATTATGAACTCAACGAGTTTATGTTATTTACATTTGTTTACATTGTATTGCCGCTACAGTTTCTTAGAATATAATAACAAAAAGAGAAAAAAAAAATGTACGACTATACAAAGATTTACATTATTATTAATGAAATTTTACTAAATTCGGAGAAAAAAAGTTGAATAAGAACCAAATTACACAGACTAACTCAAAAAGTACGCTGTGTGCTGTACACACCGTTGAAAGTTCTATACAATAAAATGAAATGTATCGTGATTTCGTGAATGAATGTGCATTTTATCATTATAATTCTCTCCAAAAAAAATACAATACACTAAACAAATTTTGAATTTAAAATCATGAACGAAACTGACACATTGTAAATAAAGTGCGAAAAAGAGCAACCAAAATTCAAATGAATAGATCGTCGTGAAAAATGTGCGCATTGTTTTTATTGTTGTTATTGTCTTCATTTTATGTTTTGTGTATCTCTCACTATTTCTCTCTTGCTCGCCTCATCTGTCTTTGTCAGTATTCTCGCCAAGTTCACATGTTTTGATACTTATTTACACAGCCTGATTTAATGAGAGAGTCAAAAGCAACATCCACGCAATTTTTTTTATAAATATGATCTTCATGGAAATAACAAGCAATAAAATACACTTGAAAACCCATTTTATGTATTTATGAACAAATTATCATCTCTTTTCCACAAACACAAAGACAAAATCAGCAAGAAAGAGAGAGACAGTGAGATTACAATGTACTAAACATTATTGCTTTGGCATTCAACCACATTTTTCGTGTGTTTGTTTTCTTTTTCGCAGATTCATGACAACAATTTTCATTTTAGATTTATATAATTATTTTACCCATTTTTAATGCTGTAAATACGAACAAACTCTAAGAAAAATATTCTTCATTTTATATCCGAAACAAAGTATGAACAAAAAAAGTATATGATTAACTAAAAAGAAATAATACATGGAATATGATAAAACTGATGAAATTAAAAAGAAAAACAAAGAATATGGAGAAGATGGAGGAAGATGAACAAGTAATAAACCAGAGCGATTGTCAAGCATTGTATAAATGTGTAAGTGAGAGAATGTTCAATTTTAATCTATTAGATTTATTATTATGTATAAAACTGAATTACACATTCAAAGAAAAACTGAAAATGGAATACAAAAAAAAGTGGAATAAAAACCTAAATCGCATATACAAAATTCAGTGGCATTTTTTATTTTATTTATTATATTTTCGGCAGTATTTTATAGTATTTTGAAGCAAGAGAGAACAAAATTACGAGGTGAGTTCAACTGGTAACTGAGATCAAAATGTAATTACAACAGTAGAGCCAGCTGTTATTGCTTGCAAATTTGTCAAACCCTGCGGCTATCATAACAAAACAACGTAAGTTTAATTCACGATAGAAGGATTCACCCGAAAAATCAAATGATATAAATATAAAAATTATTTTATTTTATTTTTATTATTCCAATTATT